CCTTCCTGCATGTCTGGGCATACCCTCTCCTTTCAGATTTATTCCCCCCCCCTTCATACAGGCTGCCCAAACATAGCTGCTGGGATTGAGTAAACGCTGTGATGGTGTGGGTGAAAGAACAGAGTTTCAGATGGAGTACCAGGAAGAGTGTAGATTATTACTGTCTGTGTTGTGACACTTAACACAAACTGACTTGCATTCTTGTAGTAATTTGTAGACTTGTAGCTTGAATTATCTGTTGTAATTGATACGGTTTTGATTTCTGTTTACCCAGCACTGAATGAGTCACTGTCCCTCTGCCCTTTTACAGCACACCCTCCAACACCCCTTGTAGGTTAGTAGAAGTGACAAGATCTTGCTCTGAGCCCTGTTCTGCATGCTGTAGTGTGTTTCTCCTGCACATGGGGCTGCTGGCAGCTGATCTCTTCTACTTTTGGGAGAATCTGCTTGCCAACCTTTCCCTTTTTTTCCGAAGTGATGCTTCTGTTACCCCAAACTCTTATATCTGTTGAGGATAGGGGAAAGCTTAGAACTCTGATAACTAAGGCTTTTTTTGCAATGTGTAAGCACTTGAAATACACAACTGAAATTTGGCAAGTTGAGCTTTACTGAAGGCACAAAACAGCTGAACCCTTTTGCACTACACTGTAGAGTGCTGTGGAGGCCAGGCGTGCATAATGCTCGTTGATGTAAGACAAACTCAAAGCGAGTTTAGTAGCAGTATTTAGTTTAGAGAATTCCCCAAGTCATTAGTTGCCAGGAACAGTGTATTCTTGGGAAGGAATGTTCTTGGGAAGGGCAACTGTTGTGTCTGTGCATCTTCTACTAACCACTCCTATGGAGGAGATGCTGGCTGAGGTTAATTTTTCGTTCAGCCTCCTATGGCAGGTCTTAAATCTAAAGAATTTCGCATCACCAGGAAGTGTTCTCATAAGCCTGATGAACATATTAGTACCTGCAGAGTTACAGAATGTCAATTTTTTGAGGACTAATGTTCATCTAGGTCACAGATTTTTATATGCTATAGTTAATCCTTAGGAATACCTTACTACTTATGCAGGACACTTCTAGGACTCTAAATGTGGATATGAAGCTGTATTTGAAGCTGGTCTAGTTGCTCATGAAAGTATTGATTACTAAAGCGAAAATTTGCTTAAAAATAGTTGAATCAGTGGTTTATTACTGTATGTTCTCTGGTTATGTGAAAGTCCAGAGCACTGAGTGAGCAGACTTCTATACGTACATGTACACATTCATTTATGCAACTCTAACGCACTTCCTCATTTCTCTACTCAGTCTCAAAACTACTTTTATTTTTCTTGGAGCTTATTCAGCATTGATTGGATCAAGGTTTACTTAGCTGCCTGTGTTGTTTCAAATTTTGGCATTATTAGCTATGCATGCTGTAAGCTAACATGTCATTCTTTAAATTTTTGGGATCTCAGTCTTGCTAAGTCTTGGCATATTGAAGTTCCCTGTTTTCTGTAGCGAGAAAGCTCTTGAAAGAAGTAAGACTGCTGGTTGGGTCTGAGCTAATGCTGAATCAAAATGGAATCTTAAGTTTTTGTTGCATGACTAGGTGAGCAAGCTGCGTTATGGGCTAGTCTCCAGACAAGTGGAAACTAGTTTTAATGTGTCAAAACAAAAGTGAAAGCAAAGTTTGCAAATACCTTTCAGCAGTTGATTTTGTGATTGACTTAAATCAATGGAAAATCATTCAAAACAGTTTCTTGCCCTGCCTCCAGGAAAGACTTTTTTTGGAAGAACTTGTGAATCTGCCTTATGTTTCCTAATGGAAGATGAAAATGAAGATACTGAAATTGTTCATGCTTCTGTAGGGATTGAATAATAGTGGGTAGGCAAAGGATCTTAAGGAAACAGGAGATTTTAAGCTAGTCAAGCCATTTCATCTTGGGGAAGGAAGGGGTCAGAGGAGGGTGCTGTCTGATCTCAGTAGCTTGCTGTTTCTTTGTTCCATGTTTTTTTTTTACCGTCAGTCCGAGAGAGGTGTTTAAAGTCCCATGTAAAGACAAGGTTGTGGGCCAGAAGCCATTCTGTTTGGTCCGTAGTGAGCACGCAAATTCCTGCAGTTCTGGAACTGTCTTAATTTGAGTGCTGCTTTTGTACTCAAAACTGTTTACAGGCCCTATAGTCTGTCTGGAAAGCTTTATACTTTTCATTGGTATGAAAAAGGATTTATTTTGAATGTAGTTATTCAAGCTGTGTTTCCAGCTGAAGAAAATAAGGTTTAAAGAAAAATGTCAGCTGTTTGAATGATGCATTCTTGCTTTTAGTAACTTACCTTTCAATACTTCGTGTGCTGGCTTTATTTTACACTTTCCAAAGTATTTGTTGATAAGAGTTTGTTTTCTTTCCCCTGCTGTGGTTTCCAAAATGGTTTATATGGGTTCTGTGAGGATTTAAATTTCTTTGTTAGAGAACAAACCAAGAGTTGCTCCTTTTGTCATGGCAAACTTGTTTCCCAAAGCAGTCATTGATTCCTGTACAAAAATATGATCAGGGAATTCTTCTTCAATGTGCCTAATTAACATTGAGATAGCAGAAATCTCCTATTATTATTATGTTTTCTGATCTTGTAACCTCCTTGACCTGTCTCAGTGTATTGCAACCAGTATTGTAACCCTAGTTGAGATGGTTGATAGTGCAGATCAAATATTCTCTGTTTTTCTGTTAGCTCTGGATTTTTAGTCTGTAGGGACTCTGCTAGTCATTGTGGTTAACTTACAGTCAAATCATTTCAGACTTTAATATACTTCTCATATTAACGTATATTATTCTGTCCATTGTATATATTTAATCCTGATGTTCATGTCCTGCTGCTTTCTTCCCACCAAATTTCAAATATGTCACTATATCAGTATCCTCATTTGAGGACACCACACTGATGTCTGCATTTTAGTTAAACACCACTGACCTGTTTGCTCATCGTTTTTGATGGCAAGTGTCTTCCTCCTTCCTGTTCTTTGATTGGAGAGTGGAATCTGTCGTTCCAGACGTGATGATGTTCAACACCTGTCCAATTTCCCTGTTATTCAGTTGGGAAACTGACCTTTGTCAATGAATGCATCTTCAGCCCGATGGATGTGTCCAACCCTTGTTAGGTCCAGTGAACTCGATCTTTCCCATTCAGACTTTATCGCTCTGAAAGTGACCCTTCTTCCTGCCAGATCCCCCACCCCACTGCAACCATATCTTATAAATCTGAAGTTCTTCGTACCTCTGGTCTCATTTCTGGTACTAGGAGGCTTTCATATGGAGTCGTGCTATGGAGGTCATCCAGCTGCTTTGAACAGTTTGGATCTTCTCTCTCATTCACGTCCTTGTGGTTTTGGTACCTGGGTACAGTCTTAGTGCTTGCTGGGAACTTGTCCTTACACATCGCAAGGGCTTTTCTTCAATGTTTTTGGGGTTTCTTTTTTGTTTGTGGATTGGTGGTGTGTTGTTTTTGTTTTTTTTTTTTTTTTTTACCTCCCCCATGCCATTCCCCCTCCCCTGCCTTTCTGCTGTAGGGTTTTGGGTGAGGATATCTGGCTCTGCTTTGGTGGAGAGGACACTGGAGGAGAGGACACTGGAATTGTTTCCCCACTTGGCTAATCTTGTGTCATCTTTATAGAAGATGGAGGCTGTTGCTATATAGGGAATTGCTCTCCAGTGACTCTGAAGGGGTCCCATGTGCATCTACCTGTTGGCTACCCCAGCAGCACTGGGGTAGTGTACTGGTGTAACCCCAGAGCTGATTATGAACCTCCCCGTCTTCTCTTTATTTCAGCTCAGATGTCTTAAGACAACTCTTTGAAGGTCTTGAGCTGCCTCTGCTGTGCATTGCTTCCTCAAAAGGCAGCAAAAAGGCTTGCAGTGCAGAGAAAAACTGCTGTCTGGGGTTGTTACTGCTCTTTGCTATGTGTGTCAAGGGATGAACACTGAAGTTTTTCTTCACTGGAGTTCTTAGTGTTGCTCCTATATTGCTGCTCTGATGTCTGTTCTAGACCTAAGCTTACAAAGCAGCATTTCATCATTATTACAATTTAGATCTCTCTTAATTTCCTGTCTTCATGCAAACTTGTACATAAGAACCAGACATGACCAGACACGGTCACCAGGCATGACCAGACACGGTAAGACTGAAGATCCACCTAACGCCGTGTCCAGTCTCCAGCAGTAACCAGGGCTAAATGCTGAGTGAAGGGTATAAGAACAGGATGAGCATGTAGTGATTCTTCTCTAGAGTTCTCCTAGCTGCTTGCAGCTTGTGACTGAGAGCTTCTTGAGTTAGTTTGGTGTTCAGTTTTGGACAGTTTTTTCTTATGTGGCTCTTACCTGCTTGTGTTTGAGCCTGTGTAAGCTTTTGGTGTTCAAGCACCGTGCAGTAAGAAGCTTCATAGCTTGACTACACACTGTGTGAAGAACCGTGCCCTTTTGTTGAGTACCTGCTATAGGAAGAGGGAAAAATGATGGTTCATTTTATCCTGTAGTCCCTCAGATACCTTTTTCCTGTTGAGGAGCCAAATCTTTTGGGTTGTTCCTTCACTTGCATGGAAGCCAAGCAAGCCCAGTATCTGAGAATGCAACCCTCAAGTCACACTTGATTGCAACTGACCAAAGGATTCAAAAGTGGCTTGGTAGTCAGGGAAGCGGAAATGGCTTGTGAAGGTAAACATGCACGAACGGCATCATTGCAAAAGCCTAATTTAAGGAAGTTGGTCAAAATGGCTGCACTTGATTCAAAAACTAATAGCTTAAGAATGCTTACTGTCTTAAAAACCTGGTTTGGCTAATCATTTTTTATTTCTTTTTAATTCCAGAACTTTTGAATCCTCTTGGGAAACATGAAAACAAAGAACTACTTTTTAAATATCTTTCAGGACAGTTAACACGTTCCAGGGAAAAGCTGTTTTTTTCTGCAAAGTTCAGAAGAATCTGCATTTTCTGGGATTTTAAATAAGTATAAAATGAAAATAGTTTGAAATTTAACCTTCAAAATGAATATTGAAACGTCAGATGACAAAGCAAAGAATGGCTTGAAGTCTTCCTTACTTATAAGGGATGAAAATGGAAATAACTATGCATGTGACAGAGATACACCTTCCTCAAAGAATTGTGCCACCAGGATATATGGTAGTTCAACTGACCAAAATATACTGACTGAGCGTGAAGATGATACCATTCTTGAAAATAAGAGTGACTTCAGAAGTATTCTTTTAAAGCAGCAGTGTACTGAAGCACTTCATCTGCAGAAGACACCTGGTAAATACAACTGCACAGGTGCTCTGTCGGGAGATGCAGATGCTGAATGCAAGTCTTCTGTGACTGAACAGACTTGTGTGTATCCTTTGAACTGTGACTTGAAAGAAACAACGAGCTTACTGAAAGATGACATTGCTATCGTAAAAATGCAAAATCAGAGTATCAAATCGGTGCCTTACAGTCAGACTGACTCTAAGTGTGTATTACCTCTTCCTGCTTCAGAGCGAAACACACAGTCCCTGATAAAGGACCGGGCATGCTGCCACCTGAGCACATTGAATGTTACTAATGTTACAGGTAAAACTCTGGGAACTGATGAAAATGACGACATACATCTGAGGGAAACGCTAATCTCTTCTGAAGTATGTACAAGAGAGAAATTCGATAGAACCAGCTCAGAAAGAACACCTAACTTCTCTACAATAGTGGTTTCGGAAAGCCCAGATGCCTATTCAGAACTTGAAGTATATTGTCCTGCCTCTGCAGGCGTCGAACACTATCTAAAAAATACTGACAAGGCTGATAAAGAATCACAGGAAACAGAAGCACAGTCTGTAAAACTAGCTGCTGGATGTGTAGATCCTTATAGGCGAGATGCATTATCACCATGCATTAATATTAATGAAGATGACCAAGTGAAATCCTTGCAGGATACTGCTGACCATGATGAAACTGGGAATTCCAATGCTGAAACATGCACGGATAGTCCTGTAAATAATGTGCACTTTCTTCCAGTAGATAAAACGGATGGAGAACAAGTATCAAAGAAAACCGGTGAACCCTCAACCAAAGAACAAAGTATCTCTGGAAATGCTGCTCTTCAGGATGTGCACAACACCTCTTTCATATCTTGCAGTGTACCAAAATTTAAGAGGACTGTTATGCCTGAGCTGAAATGCGAAGCAACTTTTGTGGTCTTCAGTCCTATGGCTGATGAAAGCGATTCTGCTCTATGTACTTCAACCCCTAAAGAACGATCAAAAAATACAACTTTTTCTGTTTCAGCTTTGGCAGAACTTGGAGACAAGTCTCCTAAACTACGACCAAACAAAGCGTTTGTAGGAGGACATAATAGAAGGCCTTTGCTTAAAGCTAGTTCAGGTCAAACTGCAGGAAAACCAGTGGGCAGGTCTCCTATTGTGTCAACAATAACCAAAGCGAAGAAATTGGAGATTGTTAATTTTCCCAAACCTAATTTCAAAAATGTTAAGCCAAAGGTTATGTCTAGGCCTGTGCTACAGTCAAGAGACAGTGCAGCATTAAAACAGTCTCCCCAGTCCCCCCAAATATCAGCTGTCTCCTCATCTTCACCAGTGGCTTCCCCGAGGCAATTATCCCCCTCCATAAAAGTGCTGAAAAAGAAAATAGATCTAGCTAAAGATACTAAAGTGGAATTGCCTGTGAATAAGCCCCATAAGCTACATCTTAACAAACACCTCTTCGCTAGCCAAGTCATACATGCCACAACACATCCCAGAAATGCTTCCCACAAGGCTTCAAAGACACCTGTGTTAAAGCGGAATCCGGAAGACATTGGCAAAGCAAGCTCTACCCATTCGGCATGCTCCTCAGTTTCTGCTGCGCTTCCAACGGGTGTAGAGAACTCAAAAGAGATGCTGATCGATAAAATGGAAAGTTCAAAGCCTTTAATGCAGTCCTGTGCTCAAAACATCTGTCTGTCTGGAGGTGAAAAAGAGCAAAACAGCAACATGGGAATTCTTCTGGAAGCACCCTTGTTAAAAGATGTGGCAAATGAAACATTAGACCTGCACTCTGTTCCTTTGGTAAGCTTTTTTGCTTTACATACTTAATTATATGTTTTGTACATTTGGAAGGGTATTCTGCATTGCACAGTGCTGAATGGAAATTGTGGAATGGGTTTTGTGTCTACAGATGTAACTGTAGTGTTGATTTCTGAGATAAAGTCTCTCCCTAATAAAGGGAATGAAGAAGTGCAATTTTTACAAGCTGGTTGCACTTGGCCTCAAGTGCTATTTAGTGTCTTCAGCCTTCATCTTATTCTATGGTATAAAATTTTTTTTTCTAAAGTCTTTTTAAGACAATGCAGTTGGTAAGATTTCTAATAAAAGCAAACAAGTCTTAATTTAGTCAAACTGCTAAAATTGCATAGCATAACTTTTAATGTCTTTCTAAACATAGCTTTTAATATGTGCTTTTATCAAGATAATTCTAGTGGTGTTGTAACTTTAAGTAGACATGAGAGATAAATTGCTGTTTTAAGTATTTTTTTTCTTTCAAAACATGTTTTAGAATTAAATTACACTTTTCAAATTTACTTACAGAAATGTTGTGCATATACTAACGATAACATTAAGTCACACAAAACCCCAAGACCAACAAGTTGGTCAAGCATTTTATTTTTAACATCTTAATTTAACTGTCTGCTTTGAATAATTTGGGAGTTCGTTTATTTGAAGTAGGACCGGGACTCATTACAATAGTTAAGAGTAGCCAGGAAATATTTCTCATGCAGAGGGCATATACCTGGTTTTGGGCAGTCAGCCAGCTGGAAGGTGCAAACTTCCTGGCCGGGAGGTATGCGTGCGCTGGTTGGTTGGGAAATATTTTCGGACGAGTCAGCTGCCTGTCAGGAGAAACATGCTGCTTTCAAATACTCTGAAAGAAGGTTAAAAGAAAAGGAACAGTGAGAAAGAAGCGAAGAACTTCGGGGTTGGGTTGACCAAGATCTCAGGAGGCATGGTAGGGACGCAGGGTTGGAGTCTTGATGCTATATGGAGTCCCTCCTGTTGTTCGCTTGTGGGTTCAACAGCTTATGTTAAATGGGTGAAATGGAGCCAGCAACATACGGGTAAAACTGGCGTTATCTGAAATTTTTGTCAGGCTTTACTGATTTGCCAGAAAAATTCCAGTAAAGCTCAGTATATGGAGGAAGGTACTTCAGGTAAAACAGAAGCAGCTATCCATTTTTGAAACATTACAGAAGAAATTAATAAATAATATTATTTCTTTATTATAATAAATAATTTAACTTGAAAACCTAAATTAACATGAAAGCAAGGATGGTCTATTTTAATTCTGCAGTCTTTCAGAGCTTGGATTCTGCTTCACTCCTTCCTTTTGGTTCTGAGGGTTGGAGAGAATGCTTTTAATTCACCCTAATTTAATTTAATTGCCAAGATAGAGACCTTTCTGATACTAATTGTTCTGCTGGTACCTGGAAAATCTGTAGAGCAATTTCTATAAAATGTGCAGTAGACCAATCAGTTGGACTAAACTTAATAAGTGTTCTTCTGAGAAGTACAGATTAACTTCTGAAAATTAAGATGAGGTTTGGAGTCAAAAGTGGCAAGTGCATTAATATGACCAAATAGCTGCATATTGGCTTGAGTTACAGAAAAGCGTATGAAGATCTGTACGTTCTTATGAGTTTACCTTTATAGCCTTAACTTTACAGCATGAGGCATGAGTGGTCATGAATTAGTGCCTGTATAAACTGGAGCAGGAATTCTCTATGAAAGATAGAGGAATGCTACATATAAACCAGTTATTTTGAACCCATCCTGGGTTCGCTCCTGAATTTATATTTTATCTATGGTACCTGAATGTGCAAGATTTTAACCTGTTTCTATGTTGTAACTTAAGACCTAGACCAGGAAACCTATTGGAAGGGCTGGTAAAGAATTCATCTTGAGATTTGGTGCAGTAATTGAATGGCTTAATTAGACTTTGGGGAGTAAGAGGAAGAAACTGATGTTAAATGACCTCTATAACCTCTTCAGTGTGTTCGTCATTACTAGCGATTAGCTTCAGACTTATGTGCTGCTGAGGGCCATTCAGGAGATGATTCTTGAGGTTCTGAACTGCAGATGTGGACAATGTGACAGCAAACAGCTAAGCATATCCCTTACCTGTGTGGTCAGTATTTCATTACAGATGTTGGAAAGGGGGATCTTCAGCTTCTGACAGTGGTGGTGTGTGGTTGGTTATTGGGGTTTTTTTGGTTTGTTGTTTTTTTTTTTTTTTTTTTTAAAACAGATGCCTTCTGTGAAAGATGGGACAACACAAGGGAAAAACATACTGAAGAAAGGCCCAATCACACTACGAAGTGTATCAGCTCCCAAGGTTAAAATGGTGCCATCTGTGTTGCCCTTGAAGAGAGGATGTGAAAATAAAACTATCTGCACAATTAAAGCACCTTCTCACAAAGGAGTTGTTCTGTCATCAAGCTCTGGTAAGAGAATTTTTTACTGGAATACTATCACTTAACCAGTTTCTTAAAATTAATATATATTTAATGTACTTTCTGACAGAACTTTTAGGATGGTACAGAGCTGTATTTTTGGTGCTAAATATGATTCTATCTAAATCGCAAATTGCTAATACAGGGCAGGGAAAAGGCAGGTTACACCCTATCATTGTAAAATCTCATCTTGTAAGGAATGTGTTTAGGAGAGTTTGGTGCTATTAGAAGAAACAATATTTAAATATTATTATTTATAGTTTTGTTATATAACAGTACTTTGCAGAATTACAACTAAAATAGCTTGAAAGATGTAAAAGTAAAGAGGAGAAAATACAGAGCTCAGATACAAAGCATTTACAATAAGCAACTGTATGCTGTCCCAATGGGAATAAGCCCTTATGTCAGGACATAGCATATTTTGTTCAACCTAATTTTGGTACAGCTCTACAGTTTCTAGAAAGGGGGGAACATAATCGAAGGAGAGACTACTGCTTGAGCTGCTAAATTAAGCTCAGACTGATTAATACCAAGGGTGAGGGGGAAATCTCAAAACTAGTCTGTAGGCTGCTGTTCAAATCTGGTGACTGGAAACTACATTCTGTAATTGTACTGTAGAGATTCAGAAATGCTCTTGTAGGCTATATGCTTTTTTTTGACTAAGTGTGGCAATGTAGCTAATTGCAAAGGTAGCCTGACTATAAATGACTACACTACAGTACACTGTAATTTGGAAAGTGTGCACACCCAAGCTATACCCAGTAAAACCTGTTCTTATTTTTTTTTAACCCACTCAATCTAAGATTATAAAACAGTCCAAAATGCTCCTCTTAATTATATACAGGTGGTGAAGCGTGATAAAATCTGTATCTGTAGCCCTTTATGGGATGAGTCCCTCAAAGAAAGTGGATATAGGCTATTCTCTGACTTGATCCTTGCTAATGTGAGGGACTTGCTCAGTGAACTAGGTACCTACCTGTAAGCCACCAATTTCTTAGAAGATTCATCACCTCTCTAAATACCAATTTAGAGCTTTCCTATCTGTAATTATGGTCTTAGAAGAACTGAAATGGATATAGATATAGTAGTATATTGTCCCTTAAATTATTAATCCAGAGTAGATTTATGACACCATCATTAGAAATAAATGTAAGCATGGCTGGGTTATAGGACGAACTTCTTCCCTTCATAAAAAATCAGACGCACTTTCAGAAGCAGAAGTCATTTGCTGTCACTCTTTAACTCGTATGTTGAAATTATGGTAGTAGAATACCTTCCAAATTTTTCCTATTGGAAAGAGGCTGTTTAAGGTAAAAGCATGAAGCAGGACCTCAACATTTCAAACTCGTGCTATGATCTGATGAGACTGGAACTTTAATGCTGCCCATGAGAAGAATTTTTTTTCATGCCCTCTCCCCAGCCCCCCTGCCAATGCCCACCGTTCCTAGCACATCTTACCCTTCATTTTGCGTATGCAATGTTTTGGTGCATTAAACTGTATCAGGTTAACTTCCCCATCCCTTGCCAAGGGAATTATTAAATATGGTTCCTTGCTCCCTGGTAAACGTAGTGCTGATGCAAATCAGAGGATGGGAGTACGGAGTGGGAGAAGCAAGGATGGGGAAAGGTAGGAGTTACTTAGTATTGCTACCAAAGCCCTGCTGTATTATGCGACCACACCTTTCAAGTAAAACCCTATCCACTGCTGCTTACCCCATCTGTTTTTAAAGTTTTTGAAGTAAAACTGTACATACACTTACTGTGGCCAAGTGGCAGCTTGTAAACCAAACCCAGTTACCTGTTTAGCTAAAGCCTTCCTGTATATAAGGAATAACTATTTTTTCCAGTTAAGTCATTTGAACACTTTGGTATTAAACTTGTGCCTTGATATAATTCCAGCAGCGCAGATAAATAACTTGGTAGCTGTACAGTTGTTTGCTGTCAGGCTTTCTCCAGACTACAGATAGACTAGCTAAATCCAGGATGGAAAGGACTTCTGGAGGTCACCTAGCCCAGCCCCCCTTGCCTGTAACTGGGTCAGCACTGAATTCAGACTAGGTTGTTCAGGCATTTGTCAAGCCGAGTCTTAAAAATGTCCAAATCCTGATGACCTCAATGCTTCCTGAGGTACTAACGTAAATGCAGCTAATTCTTAACCAGTTGCTGGCTGTATTGGGATTGTTGGGCAGGAAGACAAGTCAGTGTAGCAAGTCCATTAAACTCTGAATAAGAGAAGTGGTGGTATAGCTCTGTGTCATCTCTCACATGTGTATGTTGATGGAGAGAAGCAGGCTGTCTGTCTAAAATGTATTGGTATATGTATTACTCCCAGAATAATCAAGAGCTTGTGAGCAGTGAATTGTGTCATGCACTGTCACTTTGAGTGGGAGGCAGGAAACTCCCCTGCAACCAAGAAATAAAAGAAAAAAATGCCCCGCATAAAATGCCAATCATAAGATCCTTGCAAGTTCGCAGGAGTTGAGATTTTGGTAGTGGTTTTTTCACTTGTAAATGTAAACCGTAAGTTTTCAGTGGTAGTGCACTAACCCAATAGGAAGCATTTCTTCTAAGGAAATTCCCTGATCGTCTCCTGAACAGAAGGCAGCAGAAGGAGAGGAAAACACGTATCTCAAGCATTATATTTTTGTGAGGTTATTTGCAGAGCATGTTAAGCTAGAAATAACTATTTCAAAACGGCTGCTGACCACTGTTCACCAGTATTGGTGTATCTTGGCTGGAACTTGGAGTTTTTTCTGAATTAGAAATTGGTTCTCTAAAAGGTGAGCCCAGCTTGATTCAGGGTACCGAAGTGGTTTGTGAAATGGCGAAGCCCCATCTAGAATGGCAAAGCAAATCTAGAAACCAGGTCACAGTTGCAAGCTAGATGCCTCAAAATTATTTCTGTCTCTCCATTCCTCCATAAGAGAGAATGAGTATGGGACTGCAGGTCATTCTTGAAAGAAAATCTTAATTCTCTACAGCTAATTTTTCCATGGTGGTGTGCATAGATTTCTGTAGTACTGGATGGCAGGCAGTATGCCTCTTGCTATGTTAGTTTTCTATTAGTGAAAACCTTTATTAGAATTCAAGACACAGAATGAGGTGTTTGAGTTACCTGGTTCTTACTGGAAGGCGTTTGTAGTTTTGGAGCCCTGGTTCAGGACTTTGAACCAGTCCAGAAATGAAAGTAACTATTGTTTTCGTTCCCAGCAAATGCACACAGCCTTCTAATTGCATGTACATAACCACTGTGGAGGAGTAATAGCCTGCTAATAGTTGAGGTATTATGGTTTGGGAAAAGTCATGTCTTTCTCTCATTTGAAGGGAGGGCTGGAAGGGGACTGGATAAGCCAAGGAGATTTGGTGGTCCCATGGAGGGTCACTCCACGTTCTTCAACTGTCAGCCTGGCCAGTAACCACATGCTACCACCCATGCAGTTGGATGACAGTTTGAGCCACAGGAAATTGTTTGATTTGTGTTTGAACAGCGTAAAATAGGGATATAAATGGTTTACTTTAGGTCTAAAATGTAAAAGCCCATCACTGCTTTTTTGTTTTTTCTTCCTAGTGCTGATTTCAACCTACCTATAAGTATATAAAGGGATGGAGCTTTACCTGCAAGTTAAGATTTCTGATATGCTCATACTTCACCTACACTTCTGTCTTAAAATAATACGATTGCTTTTAATTATTTTGAACTGTATGAAACTTCACATTGTTGTTGATGTCTTAGCTATGAGAGATCTGTCAAGCCTTGTGTGTAATTGAAACTATTTGGGGATATGAAAGCATCTAAAATATTATTCCTCCACTTACTGTTAACAACTTCCAGAAATTAATGGAAGCCTTGTAAATCATCTTTGTAACCAAAATGTCTTTCACCATCTGACAGTTATTTCTGACATTTTAGGTACCATTTTGTCTCTGATTTAAGTCACTGATAACCAAGTAAAGCCCTGTGCTTTATTTATCTTTTCCAGGAGTCTAATCCAGTGGTACTCCCTCTTTCACTTGCTAGTATTTTCATAGCATTTAACTGGAGTAATGAAAGCTTGGGTAGAGAGAAACATAACAGTCTGAATTCAGTGTTTCCTTGAAGAAGGTTTTGGATAAGTGAGACCTTTTCCTTATGAAAAGTTGATCATACTGAGGGACTTTTCTGGTGTTGTGCAAATAACGGAAGCACGGGAAAAATAATTCCCCATATGCTATAGGAAATATGTTTAAGTTGCATTAGACTACAAAAGATCCAGTGATACTTTGAAATACTGATTTACTTGTTAGTTCATAATTGCAAAATTCCTTCTGTTGCGTTTTGGCTTGGTCTTACACTTAAGCGTGTAATTCAGAGAAGCTTCCAAAGTTAAAACCAGAACAGGCCGTAACAAATTAAGACTGTGTTCATTATTGAGTGTTGTTGCTGTTGATTGCACAAAGAAAGGCTTTTCAGATGGAAAATTGAAACCAAATGGTTTCAATGGGTTTTCGTACAGCTGGAAACATATATAAACTTGGTAATTCAGGACTTTTTGGTATAGCCTTTCACAATACTAGTGAAGCAGAATGAAAACGGCTTAGTTTCAGTAAGCGTTGCCACAAACTTGAGTCTATGTTCTGACACTGAATCAGGAGCTGAACCAAACATGGTTACTGCAAATCACTTCTCAGCTTATATCATTAAAACCATGTGACTCTTTAAAGTTGGATTGACATACTGCCAAGAGGAAGCAAAATATTTTAAAAGGCAAACATAACTTCCAGGTTTTCTGGCCTGAAACCATCAGGAAATGCTGGACTGGAGTGTTAGTTGTAAGGGTATCCATATACTTTCTCATGAACAAATCTGAAATACATCAGAATCTATAAATAAGGCTTAAGATTTAGTTTCAACCACTCTTCTTATGCTTTTTGTTTTTTTCTTTTGCAAACAGCCAGCTTTTCTTATGGATCCTAAAAGCAGGTTCCTCATACACTAACTTATCCAACATCAT